AGATAGTTGGAAATATACTGTCGAATATTATTATATAAGAAGCTCAAGTTATTCATGCACAAGTAACGTTTGGATTTTTGTAAAACAATTGAGTGAATGCTACACTTATACTACATGCACATAAATAATGTTTAGGGGGTGAGCTGTCTTGGCGGAGGTTTGCGCTCTGAGTGCTTCTTGTTGCTTTTGTTCTATTTTAGGATGTGTTAGTGTGGAAACCATCAACATAAGCGCAAATTCTGAGGAAAGTCTGACTGTCCTCCCACTGCTAGTCCGCTCTCAAGAAAGTACCTCTGTATCCTCCTCACCTCATAGCTGGGCATCCTGTTCATTAGAGTTGCTGTGGGCGTCCCTGTCAGACGCAGTATGTGCTGAAGCTGGTTTATATCTTTGAAGTTTGTGTCAAGGGGAGTATAGTGACAGAGCAGAGTTAGTTAAGAAGCTGTGTCTGGGGCTAAACTCCAGGTCACGAGTCTCCAAGCTTTGAGCCCAGAAAAAAACAAAACTAAAGCTTAAGCATCCTCAGAATTAGAGGAAAGACGCATGACAACACTTCTCATTACAGGCACACAGTGAAAGATGAAATCACCTGTGTAACAATAATCTCACAGCAAACACTGCTTAATGCTCTTCAGAGGAAGCAAAGCACACCCACAAGGCTAGAGGGTGAAAAACATGCTGTCATTACAAAGCAGATATTTCCAGCTGAACCACAGAGTGCAGAGTTTAGAGTAGAAATACGGTTAGACAGAGAGGGGGGAGAAAAAAAAAAAAACACAAAACTTGCACAGCTTTGTGAACTCACAGACTCTGAAGAGATTTTCTTCAAGAGCTCTGGACCTGGTTTTCCGACGAGCAGCATGATTAACTTCAACTGATCAATATCTACCAGCACACTGTAAAGGAAGACCAGACGCTGCACATGGGGACATCTGTAATCTGACCTCCTTTGAAGCTATGTAATAATCAATCCCATCATCTTTACATTTCACACACAGGAGGGAAAAAAGGAATCTGAGATGTTTCCTGTGGAAGACATTGAATTCGTTTATATTGGGTGCTTTTAATAGAAAATGATTGGAGGCGGTGGGCAGCCTAGTGGAGCGCTTGCTTACAAGCTCAGCAGTTAGCTACCAAATACTGGCAAAAGAAAAGAGAGAAAGAAACAGGGTGGTGCAAGGAAAGACAGAGTGAAAGTGTACCTGAGCCAAAGATACACACTTAAAATATAGAAAGAGTCATAGTGCCAAAGTGGAAAAATTACTCAGAGGTGCATGTGTCAAGTGAGAAAAATGTGTGATCGCTCTTCATGAGAAAACGCCTCAGGCAGAGTCGTGTTGAAAAGGAAAGGCGGCTTTCCGTGTGAGGACGGAGAAAAGCAGTATTGCAGATTTATTGCAGACAAATCAGCGCGCCTCTACGTCATCATCGGTGTGTGTTGGATCAGTTTAATTTGTTATGTAAATTGTTTGTCAGCTGCAGGAGTTCATGGTGTGCACAGCGAACTGTCAGATGAAAAAGGATACGGTCAGTGCCGGGAAACAGAGCACGTCCAGTGAGAAGTTCTGCCATTATACATCCCACAGACCAAATATCCACTGAAACACAGAAGGACACAGACATTATACCCAGAACACTCTTCTATTTACAGACGGATCACAGAG